ATAGTACTGGTTAAAATTTTTATGTAATTTGGAAGGTTATTAAAATTTTTAACTGCCATACAGTAGGGACTAGAGCTATGCAAAGCAAAAGTAGATTTCAGCAATAGTAGCCTATTTTATTTGGTCTAATTGAGATTTGTAATTTGTTTCACTCAATTTGGTAAATAGTTCTGGGTGGTTTTTTTTTACAAATTTGCATGTTTCCCAAATATAAATAGAGGTCAAAGTCAAAATTTTAAACTTTTTGAAGTGGGGCTTACAACTTTCTGGAATTTTTATGTTTACCAAGATTCTTATAAATTTTTTTTTTGCATTATAAATAATTGCTGTGCATCTTTACTAGTTCCCCACAAAATGACACCGTATGACAGCCACGAAGATGTGTATGCGTAATATGCTGACAGAGCGCTGGGGACATCTGTGGTTTTCTTTATTTCTCGTAATACGTAAGTGAAGGATAAGTCGCTCGCGTCCGTAGGCTATGACCACCTATTCCTAGGCCCACCCTACACGTGTCCCCCGGGTGGTGCTAAATGAGCGACAAGCCGATACCACAGACTCGGCTCCACGCCGTGGTAGCGGCGTAAAATATACTACCCCATATTTCGCACCAAGAAGAACTATATAAAAGAAATGGCCCCGAGTTTCTGGCGCCCCTTTAATGGGGCAGGGGTGCGAAGAATCTCCGGGAGGAAAACCGGCGACGAGGTTCGCTACCCGTCACGTTCTGTCTCCCGGAGAGGCGAAAAGTGGATTGCAGAGGCCCGTCTGGCTACGTTGAATATATGTGGGGCAATTAATGATAAAATGGATGAAGTATGCGATATGATGTATGATAGAGGAATAGATGTGTTATGTGTAAATGAGACGAAAAGGAAGGGGAAGGATGTCACTACACATGGCATGTATACCGCATACTGGTCTGGTGTAGACGAGATCGAGCGGGCATGCCAGGGAGTAGGTATCATCCTTTTAGAAAGAACGGCCCAATGTGTGAAAGAGTATGAATGTGTAAGCCCAAGACTGCTATGGATAGGAATGAAAGTGGGCTTAAAGAAGTTGTTTGTGTTAGGGGTCTACGCCCCAGACATGTCTAAGCCCACTTATATCCGAGAGCAGTTTTGGGAAATGGCAAGGATGGTGTTAATGAAGTGTAAGGGAAATGAAAATATTATTATGCTAGGAGATTTTAATGGAAGGGTTGGGGTGAGGAGGCTTGGTTATGAAAGGATATTGGGAAAGTTTGGTGATGAAAGTATAAACGAGAATGGTGAAAGTATCCTCACCGTATGTATGGAAAAGAATCTTTTTGTGACGAACACTTGCTTTCGCCACAAGAGGATTCACATGTATACTTGGGAAAGAGGTGACGATAGAAGTATGATAGATTTCATAATTGTGGATGAAAGATTGAGGGGCGCAGTGGTAGATACAAGGGTTTACCGGGGTTCTAACGTAGGAACGGGTCATTATTTGGTTTTATGCCGAATTAATGGTCTATTCAGGCGTTGGCGCCATCAATCATCTGTGTCTACCACTGCGTTACAGCGTATTAGAACAAAAAGGTTACAGGTGAAAAACAAGTTCAAATGTAGACTGAAAGAAAATATAAGTGGTTTGGATGAATTATGTATGAAGGAGTTAGACTTGGAGAATGTATGGCAAAATGTAAAGAAAGGTTTAGTGGATGCAGCTACCGAAGTATGTGGTGTTAGTAAGAGAAAGAATGAAAGGAAAAATATTACGTTATGGTGGGATGATGAGATACCTATGGAAGTTGAAGCAAAGAAGAGAGCATGGCTAGATTTACTAGCAACAAAGGCTGGTAATTCTGGCGGTACGAATGATGATATTGAAAGAAAAAAGGCAGTCTTTAGACATCTTAATAAGATAGTAAAAGAAGTAGTTGAAAGAAAAAAGCAAGAAAGAAGGGATAAGAATGATAGAAGAATATCGGATAACTTCCAGGCAAATATTAAAATGTTCTGGAAACTTGTAAGAACTGCCAGGGGACATTCAAAACAGCCTAATGTTATAAGAAACGAGAATGGCTATATTATGAATGATGAAGTTTTGAGTTTAAAGAGATGGAAGAAATATTTTGAAAGCGTGTTTATGAGTGAGGAAACAACCTATGTACTAAGTGAAGTAGAAACTCCGAAAGAAGAGGAAAGAGGTAGCGAGATAAGTATAGATGAAATCATGAAAGCAATGAAAAGCATGAAAGCAATGAAAAGCATGAAAGCAGGTAAGGCTGCCGGATATGATAGAGTTTCACTCGAAATGCTAAGGGCTGGAGAGGAAGTCGTGGCAGGCCTGCTGCACACCTTGTTTAATTTATGCTGGGAACTGAAGCGGGTACTGGTAGACTGGTGCAAAGCCGTGATAGTCCCAGTATATAAAGGAAAAGGGTCGCAGCAGGACTGTAAAAACTACCGTGGCATCAGCCTTCTTGGCATTGTGGGAAAACTGTATGCTAAGGTACTGATTGAAAGGGTCATGAAAGAAACTGATGGAAAAATTTGGGATGTGCAAGCGGGATTTAAAAAGGGAATGGGATGTACAGATCAAGTCTTTTCCATGCGCATGATCGCGGAGAAGTTTTTGGCCAAAAACCAAAAGGTTTTTTGTGCGTTCATGGACTTGGAAAAGGCCTATGACAGAGTGGATAGGGATGTGCTATGGCAAACACTGAAATCATTTGGGTTGAGCGCTGGCTTGATACAGGCATTGGAGTCTCTTTATAGGGACTCTAGTGCTTGTGTTAGGATCAACGGGGTCTACTCGGACTGGTTTGACATCCATAAAGGTGTCAGACAGGGCTGTGTAGCTTCCCCGTGGCTGTTCAACCTATTTATGGACAGTTGTTTGCAAAAAACTCTCTTATTAAGATGTCTAAAGACTGCCTTTTTTCTTTCAATATCATCATTCGTACCGCTAGAATTACCAGCCTTTGTTAAATAAGAATAGAAGGAGAGTTGATCGAGCAAGTAGATGAGTTTGTATATTTGGGCTGCGTATTTAGCAGGGATGGGAGATATGATAAGGATATAGAACGACGAGTGAATGCGGGAAATAGAGTAAATGGGGCCCTGCACTCTATTTTGAAGAGTCAAAATGTGTCAAAAAAAGGCACGTATGGCAATTCACAATGCTGTGTTGGTCCCTACTTTAACGTATGGTAGTGAAAGTTGGGTGTGGCAGAAGAAGCACGAGAGTAGAATCAACGCAGTAGAAATGCGGTCCTTAAGGAGTATGTTAGGGCTGAATCTGAACGACAGGGTAAGAAATTGTGTAATAAGAGAAGAGTGTGGTTTGCAAGATGATGTTGTGACCAGGATTAAGAAAGGAATGCTTCGGTGGTTTGGTCATGTGGAAAGAATGAATGAGGAAAGAGTGACAAAGAAAATTTATGTTGCAGAAGTGAATGGCAGAGTCGGAAAGGGACGTCCTACGCGAAAATTTATCGACCAAATTGGCGATTTATTGAAAACGGGCCAAATTAGGAGTACCCTTAACCGACGAGCATGTATGCGTAGGTGTATGGATGTGAAGGAGGCGAGAGAGGTGTGTCAGGATCGTGCCAAATGGAAGTCTGTAGTCTCTGCCTACCCCTCTGGGTGACAGGCGTGAGTGTTTATGTTATGTTATGGGTCAGGACCAAATTTTTGACGTAATCGCACAACGGAAATCGCAACGGAATGTATCACACTGGAAACTAAATGTAGCACAATAGAATTATTAGGGTGTATGTATATGGTCGGAAGATTTGAGGTAAGTTAAATTTAAAATAAATAAAATTCACAGAAAGAAATATTTAATAAGTAGTACAAACCAAACAACTTTGTTTTTCTTACACTAATAAAACATTATATTAATAATTAATTATCTTTGGATTTTACATTATTAATGTCCCAAAATTTTAATTTAAAATTTTAAACATACCCACAACATAAAATGATCCCTTAAAAAGTAAAACTAGAAAAGACCTCAAACTTTGTCTTTAAACGGTTGAACAGATTTTTTTGAATCATAGCTAATAACACTCGATCAAGTCGCCTTTTAAACAAAAAAAAATCAATATCGATTCATCCGTTTGGGAGCTACGATACCACAAGCAGATACACACGTTAAACTTATATGTTTGCATTGGGGGTTATAAACAACAAAATCCTTACTAATAAACTAATCAGTCAGGTGGCCTACCATGACATCTTAAAACAATATTGTTTTAATCCTGTTCTAGTTTGGAGTAGAGATGACGCTATACATCCGGTATAGTTCTGTCTTTTTCTAACACTGAAATGACGTTCAAACAATACTGCTTTAAGACGTCATGGTAACACCACTGTTCTATATAATACTGATTTTAAACTGAAAAAAAAAATTACAGCTAAACAAAATAAACTTCGTCAAAATCGTCAACCAAATAGTAGTCTTTGGAATCTTGCAATAGTCTTATTTTTTTAACAATCGAATCGCTTGTGATAATGTCGAGATCAACTTTTTTTGGTAGAATGAACTTTAGTTTTGGGGATTTTACAGTCTTTAGGAAGGAGATCGTGAATAAAGTTTTACCATCTTCATTGTGAATTTTCTGAACATATCCTACGTAGTACCTCCATATTTTTCTTACGTAATATCGGACTAAAACAACGTCATTTTTTAATAAATCATATTTTTCTACATTCGCTTCTTGATTAATCGCGGAATTAACTTCAGAACAGGATGGAATAGGATTTGAATATATATTATCAGTATTTTCTTTCTCCGATTTACTATTATTAGATGATGGTTTTTTCACTGAACTCACATCAAAGTCTAAACCTATTTCTGTAAGCTTCCCAAATGTTTTAAAAATAAATATCGGTGAGGATTTTCACTTCACTGTTTCCGTTCTTTTTTCCTTTACTTTCTGATCCTTTTTGCAGGACACTATCAAATTCTATCTGTAACACCTTTTCTTCTTCTGTATTTGTTTTTAATGTTACATTTTCTGTTCATATGTGATTTTCAATCTCTGGTTCAGTCTTATTCTGTATTATTTTTTCAGATAACATTATTTTCTCTGTTTTTTCTCTGCAGGTTTCCTGTTCTTCTGGATCATTATCATCAAAATATCCAGCTTCATTCCAATCAGATTGATCGCTTTCGGCATATTCGATCTCCGTATCCGTATCTTCTGAAGACGAATCTATTTTTATCATATTTTTCCTGAATCTATCTCTAGGAACTCTTGGTTGTTTTTCATTGATTTCTTTTATAAGAACGTGAGTTTTAGTAGAAAAGCAGTCGCAGTTACCTCGCATGCAGAAGCAGCTTAGCGCTCTGTATTTAACGGTATTTTTATTTTTAGTGTCGATGACTTGGTGTATTTTCATTGTGGACGGTATCGTTAAAATTTTTTCGGGATTAGATATTTTAATTTTTTCTATGTCTTGGTTAGAAACGTAAAATGTCTTGACAGATATTTCTGATTGTATTAACGTCTCAAATACGGACCTTGCATCGACAATATCCGTACCATAGGCAACTCTGGCATCCAAGGTTCTTTTAACTACACCTCCAACACCATCGGCTGCACCTTTCCCATGAGACGCCTCGAAAAAGGACCAGGTCGCTTGATGGAATCCTTCATTCTGCGTTATTTCACAAAAAAGAAAAAAGTTGTATTTTTGACGATATTGCGTCGTGGGTCCATCAGACCAAACGTGGATGCGACTAACTGTGGAATGTTTTTCTTTAATAAACTCTATAACTGGTTTTAAATGGCCCCATATAGCTTCGGGACCATGCTTGAGTGAAGGAGAAACGGTACAAAAACGTAACGGTTTCTCATTTTTTATATATATTAGGCCAGTATGCAACGTGACTTGTGTTTTTGATGACCCAAAGTGCATGGCCTGCACTTCTTGAGCCATTTTACAAACGTAATTCTCCGAAAAGTCACAGTGAAGTATAACTTCGTCATCTTCTACTTTTTCTATTGATTCTTTATATTGTAAAATTCGGCGGAACTATATAAAATGGACGGTAGCATTTAAATGTCGTGAAGGATACAGTTCCGCCTTCATTTTGGTATTTTTGATACAATTTCAGTAGCGTATCTAGCAAAAATCGTTTTTGTTTTTGTATTTTATTTTTAGTGACATACTCTTTCTTTCCTGCAGTCATACGACTTACGTCATCTCTTTCGAAGAATTTTTTCAAATCACATGCTGTTTTTATTCTCTTTTGTTTGATGCTGTAGTACCTTTTTACACCACTCTTAATACCTAAGCATTTTGCCAGGTTTGTTTTCATGTAATATTTCTTGCCTGTTTCACTTTCTGTAAGCTTTTTCAGCATTTTTCTTTCTTGGAATGATTTACTAAGTTTATACGTTTCTTTTAAGGACTCTTCAAGAACATGCTGTTGTTGTTTTTGTTGTTAAAAGTTTTTGCTTAACTCTCTCTTTAGCTTCCTCTGAAATATCAGGAAGTTCTTTCTCAATGAAAATGTTAGATTTAGTCTTAGGAGTAAGTTCATTTAGATAGTGAAGCTCCTCGATTTCAACTGATTGTGACCGGTTTGTAATAGATTTTCTCGATTACTTTTGTGATTTAAGTTTGTCCAACTCAGTAGTCAGTCTTTGTACCTTTTTTCTTGAGCGTGTTTACATTTTTCTTAAATTCTCATTTTTTCTACGCATAATTTCTACTTTTTCTTTTAGTTTTTTATTTTCTCGCCCTACTTGGCTACGATAGCGACGACGTGCCCTTCCAGTTTCGACTGCCAATGGTTTATTTTCTTTTTCAAGTTTTTTACGTTTAGCATCCCTCCATTGTTTTCTAACATCTTGTTTTTCATTTTCGCTCATATCGCCTATTTTTCGTTTTTTAGCTTTCGTTCTTTCCAAATTTCTCTTTTTCATTTCTTCAAACTTTTTTGGATTCTTTTTTTAGTTTTTCGCGATACTTGCGACATCTTTCTGCGGATGATAAAGGCATCTGAAAAGCAACAATGATAAATAATAAAATGTAGCTACTATTAACTTAATCAAATTATGTAATCTAAACTATTGTAAAAGGACAACAATAAGATCAAAATAAAAAGAATCAGTTGGTGGCAGTTACTACAGTTCAATCTATAATCGTATGCCACCGACTAGGTACTTTTTGAAATAAGTTCTTTGTTGGTTTTGATCTTTTTAGTTGTTTTTATTTTACGAAGATGGTTTTTTTTTCTATTGTAAAAAGTCATGTTCTAGATTTTAAAAAAAACTAACTGCTGACTGGGGAAGCTAACATTACAGAAGGAATCGGGAAAAAGGATTTCATAAACCTATCAGAATCAGTTAAAATCGAGGATTTTCGTTATTTAAATGAAATCACCCCTAATGTCTAAAACTAAACTGAAATCGTAGGTATTTTAAACTTAATAAAACAAATTACGGAGAAATTGGTATGCGTAACAAATACAGAAGAAAAAGACACGCCGAATACATAACCTCCTCCTTATTTGAAGTCATTTAAAAAATTGAAGAGGCTCACGAAAAGTGGAACAGGCAAAAAATATAACGCGACAACAAATCTGGCAAAAATTTAACTATTATTAAAATACTAAATTATTAATTACTGAAATTTTTTTACCATAAGTAAAAAAAAGAGTGTCATTTGAGGAACCAAGATGTATCTAACAATGATGTTTATGTAGCATCTAGGAGGGAACATAGACACAGGCATACTAATATACCAACTAAAAACATTACCACGGTAATATTATCTATACAGTATTGTAACTCGGCCGTATCTTTCAAATAAATGCCTACAGCCGTGCGGCACGTAAACATGTGATAGGGCTGTCTGCCTCCAGCATTTTTACATTTGCCTACTTTGTGTTTCCATTTAGTTTTATGATTGTAAATATACTTTGTATATAAACAAATAAAATAGGTACTTTGTGAATTGAATAGGAAGTTTTCAATAAAAATGGGTGTCGTTTTTTGATTGGTAGATTTAATTAAAAAACCATGTTTATGTTTGAATAACAAATCGGTTAAATAATTTTGCGACCGAAAAATATTTGCGCCTCGGCTGAGACTTACGAAATGCTTTATTACTAGATTTTTAAATATAAAAAGTCCGCTTTCTAATATAAAGCTAAAATAATATAAATTAAAAATTGTTTTGGAAAACATGGACAACGTGGAGAAAAGGAATATCTATTAATTGATTATAGATACCTGCAGCTACTTTACAATTTATATGTTTGTTTTTAAATGAAGTTCAGATTTATTATTTCTTTATTTCTACTCTATTATTTATTTCCTCCATTTTTTAATATATTTCACAAAATCATCTCTGCGGCACAGTCTCGACTGTCTGCATGCCGAGATCGAGGCGCGTAGGCATAGCTCTCGCTTCGTCCGTTTGTATGAAGTTGGAATACTGTATAGATAATATTACCGTGACATTACCCTCCTTCTGGGCTCTGGCACAGTCAAGTAAAAATAATATATAAATATTAAACGCTAATTCGATTCATAACATAAGTAGGTACCTAATGAGATTAGAATAATTGTACACATACCTTTAGAAAATTCCCTTGTGACACGTCGCACAATTTCGTGTCACTAATCGCACAATGGAATAAAAATTCTTTACAACGTAACCTAAAAGTTGCAAGAACTCATAAATTTAACCATGAATCGAACACTTCTACAGAGCTTTTCACTGTAAATCTTTAAGGGGCGTATTACATAATTCAATTTTAAAGAAATCTTTAGATATATTATTATTGTACACAACTAAATTCACAAAATTTTAACGACACGCGGCGACGACACAAACAAAATGCTCAAGTGACAATGAAACAACATGGCGGCATTGATAAATAAATATATGGCGGCTTTTAGAAATTTTATGGCCAGTACTTGAAGCCAATGTTGTAGGTTTTGAAACGATGGTGTCGCACAACAGGAGTGTTACAACGGAATGAATTTTGGGATGTATGTAATATTACTTGTAAAAACTATAATAACGATGGTTATTGTGATATTATTTATAAAAACGATTACTAGTGTTTACGAGCCTTTATTAATAATAACATAAAAATGCTTGCTTACGTTAAATAAAACAGCGCCAAAAATATTCTTAGGTACTCGAGCAAGGACATGCGTATTTTATATAGAGTAAAAAGACCGAGTTAGATATTATGTATTGTTATGGCGAATTTAAACAACGAAATTAGTTATTTGATGAATGACAGTGTATACAATACACTAAAATAATATTAGCAAATATCCAAAATTATTTTAAGGCATAATAAATACGCAATTTTTTGTCACATAAGAGTCGGACACTACAGTATTTCTGTATGCGTCAAAAATTTAATCCTGACCCTATGTTTGTTTGCAAAATTTGAAAGTTGAAGAATGCGGATTAAGAATGGGTGAGTTAACCGTCAAATGCCTTTTGTACGCCGATGATCAAGTTATCCTTGCGTCGTCGGCTGCCGAGTTGGAAATGATGGTTACATTAATGAACAGATCATTAAAAGAAAGGGGTATGAAAGTGAACGCAAGTAAGACGAAGGTTATGGTTTTTGAAGGAGAAGAAAGTAAAACGATTTGTGAAATAAGAATAGAAGGGGAGTTGATCAAGCAAGTAGATGAGTTTGTATATTTGGGCTGCGTATTTAGCAGGGATGGGAGATATGATAAGGATATAGAACGATGAGTGAATGCGGGAAATAGAGTAAATGGGGCCCTGCACTCTATTGTGAAGAGTCAAAATGTGTCAAAAAAGGCACGTATGGCAATTCACAATGCTGTATTGGTCCCTACTTTAACGTATGGTAGTGAAAGTTGGGTGTGGCAGAAGAAGCACGAGAGTAGAATCAACGCAGTAGAAATGCGGTCGTTAAGGAGTATGTTAGGGCTGAATCTGAACGACAGGGTAAGAAATTGTGTAATAAGAGAATAGTGTGGTTTGCAAGATGATGTTGTGACCAGGATTAAGAAAGGAATGCTTCGGTGGTTTGGTCATGTGGGTGACAGGCGTGAGTGTTTATGTATGTATGTATTTACGTAAGTGAATTTTGATAGCCTATTTTTCACTTTATTTATATGGGATTTCCAGTTTATATGGTATATTATTATAAGTAAAAGCGATATTTAGTGGTGATTTTTGAACTGGCCGGAATTGCATAATTTTGGTTTTATTAAAATTAATCTCTAGGTTGTGATGTGTCAGCCAATTTGTAACCTGGTTCAATACTTGATTCAATTTATTATTTAAATTCTGGTCTTTTGTATGCGGAATAAGAATGGAAATGTCATCAGCAAATATAACAGAGGTTTCAGTCCATACCCTAGATTGAGAAAGAAAATCGCACAACA